ACTGGGCCTTGAAATACCCTCATTTGTAGACTTGGACTTGGACTTAGCCGGATCAGATGGAAGAGAAGGAAGAGGTTTCTGAAAACTTATTCTTTATCGCCTTAGCTGAAAATTCATTCCACTAGATAAATGAGGTTAGTGGCAGCTCCTAAATAAATTATTTATACAACAATGGTGACATTAACGTATTTCAATAGCATACGAAAAATTTTAAGACTGATTTCTTGCGAAATATGAGTCCTACATCATTTTCGAGAAAGCACAAAAATAGCAATTTCACGAAAACATTGTTCACTTTGTTTGATTTATCATGCCGTTAAGTATTCAGCTAACTGCTATTACTTGATCAACCCACTAAACCAAGCCAACAATGTTTGAGAAAAAGAATACGAAGTTTACGTGAAAGATAAAGGTGTACCGATGACAAAGTAATCCTCTGGGAAGGGATCGCATCTTAATCCAACAAAATTACTAAAACTTCCAGCTCAATTGTTTTACATACAAAATTGAACTGAGACTTCTGCTAATCAGGAAAATAACTTCAACAATGAAAAGAAAAAGGGAAAACGCAGCATGACTAGTTTCTGTAACTGCATCAGTAATTTGGGACGAATACAACATTTTAATAAGGAATTCAGTCTAAATATTCTGTCGTTGATGATGCTTTTCCAGAATTTTTTTACTTTAGTTGCGATCTTCAGTACCTAACTTGCTTGGAGACGGTGAGAAAATTGAAATGTTACTTACCGCTTTACCTGTCCGAAACAACTCTAGCAGGAAAAGAAAAAATTTCTAGCCTAATAGAACCGATGCAGTTTTGGCTTAAACTGTTCTAAAAAGTGGAGAGTTATTTTTATCAATTTAAGAGAGATTTTTAAAGGCAAATATTAATTGACGTTAAACTCGCTATATGACGTTATCATCATGACAAATCAGAGATCACAGCCTGTAGTGTCTCCCTAGGATGAATCTTGAAAACAGACCACCTAAATATAGTACGTATATTTTCTTAAGTCACGCAATGGCAAAACTAATAATGATGCAGAATCTTCCAACAGCGTGACAGTTAAAATGGAACGCAATTTCCCTTTCCAAGTTGTGAGATGACAGCTTTTTCTTTTCCTCTCAGATTCTGATCTCGAGTAAAGTTCTTTTTGGACTGAAATAGTAATCACCTCCCACCCTCATTTGACTTTTTCTTTAATTATATCAAAGAGGACTAGAGAATGACAATGAAACTTCGCGCAAGGGGTTAATTCACCTGTAGATCATTTAGGTCAAAGCTCTAATGAAAATTGGACAATACCTTCTAACGATATTTATTAAGAGAGAATTCACGTTAATAATGCAAGCTTCATTTCATTATGATACTTATCCAGTTTTAGCATAAAAATGAAGATGATCAACAACATGCAACTTACTTGATCAATATTTTGGGGCCAGTGAAAAGAAAAGTATGTTAAGGGCGTTTCTTCTCGCAAAAGTGCAAGAAAATATCTCTTATCACCTTTTTTCAATTTGAGAACCCATAGCTTTATCTTAACCAATAGATTACGTAATAGAGAGTTTATTGGCAAAGAAATGAATGAAACTCTTTAAACACAGCGAAGATGAAGGGACCCACTGACCCCAGCCGGTCTTCGTGATGTTGAAAGCTCTGAGTTATCGTTCAGATAGGGAGAGAAGGAAGAGGTTTCTGAAAAACTTATTCTTTACCGTCTTAGCTGAAAATTCATCCCACTGGATAATGAAGTTAGTGGCAGCTCCTAAATAAGTTATTTATACAATAATGGTGACATAAACGTATTTACATACGAAAATGTCAAGACTGATTTCTTGTTGAATATGAGTCCTATATCATTTTCGAGAAAGCACAAAAAAATAACAATTTCACGAAAATATTTTTCACAACGCTTAGAGTTATTTTTATCAATTTAAGAGCGAGTTTTAAAGGCAATATTAATTGACGTTTCTATAAACTCGCCAAATGACGTTATCATCACGACCAATCAGAGATCACAGCCTGTAGTGTCTCCTTAGATAAATCTTGAAGACAGACCACTCCAAACAGGATATATTTTCTTAAGTCACGCAATGGAAAAACCAATGATGATGCAGAATCTTCCAACAGCGTTGAGGCATATTGGCAAAGTGGAGCAAACAGACACTTGCTAATGTTTTCTTTTCATTCAATCAATGCGTTCCTCTAGTTTCTCTCAGAAAAATCGTTAGGAGCATTGTATTCAAATATGAAAAAAGTAGAAGTAGTTTTAAAAGCTTCAACACAGGAAAAAGGCCCTAAAGAGTTTGAGGCTTTGAGACGTCAAGTATTTTAAACGGTGATGGTTTAACAGTAAACTATAAAACCACTTGGAGTGCGGCCTCGTACATTCATCTGTTTTTTCGGCGTTTGGAATCCCTGATGAAACTCTCGCACTCGTTTTTGATATACTATGTCACATTAATATATTCAGCGATAAAGCTTTGTTTTTTAGAGTGATTTTATAGTTTCGGGGATGTGTGAGCATGATTTTTTCCTCTCTTCATCTACGTCCAAGCGTTATTGGAAGCTACACACAGGGTGTGGTACTACAACAAATAATTGCAACGTTAAGACATTTTTTTTGTCATTTAATCAAAAAAGCACACCTGGTTATTACTATAACACAAGGAAAAGACAGCAATTTGCTTTCACAAGATTTTACAATTCGCAGCTTTACTCCATGCTAACTTTTATCAATATAGGAGCGAGTGTTAATGGCAGGGACTAGTTGCATTTTTCCATAAACCCGCTGAATAACTTCATCACTGTGGCAGATGATATTTATCACAACTCCTACGGTTATTCCTGAGCATCAATCACGGAAAACGAATTACACGAAAAGATCTTCCTTGAACGGAATCTGCGGTTCATGCGCGTTAGCTATGTATTTGTTCAACTGCTACCATTTCGCCCTCGGGTGTATCAATAATCAATCTCTCAAGAATATCATTTTCCACCACCACCAGAAAAAACTAAATATAATGTCATTATCATAATATAATTTCTTTGTTTCCATCGTTCTTCACGTCAAATAAAAGAGACACCAAGTATGGCGCGTATATAACAAATTTTAATATAAGTTAATTATTAAAGTAACAACTGATTGAATAAAACGGCAAATTTCAATTTCGTTAACGTCCTTGTCCAAAGGAGGCTTTTATAAGATCACACGATGCCAGCTGGGGCTGGTTCTATTTAACAATTGGTTCTGCTTTAGCGTGCACTATCGAGTTATAGAGCACGCGGGAAGTTTGGAGAGCACGAAAGAAACATAAGAGTTGCCCGAGGCAATAGCCTCGGGCAACTCTAGCTTCTTGAGTACTCTCCAAACTTCCCACGTGCTCCATAACTCGATAGTGTACAGCTGAAGGCATGAACCAATTGTTTTAGAACATAGCCGGTGGAATTGTGCATCAAATCCGACGCGAAAAGCGGACAACAATATCAATTGAAGCGAATCGTGACGGCGCTGATGCTAATAAAAAATAAATAACTCTAAATAAAAAAAAAATTCTAAACACTATCCATGCAGGTATTATAAACGCGCAGAGTCTCTCAAGGAAAACCTCAGTGGTATCTTACAATTAGGACTTGCTGTTAATATAAGACAAAAAGTGCGGAAGAAAACTGAAACGGAAGTATCGTAGTTTTCAGTTGTTAATGTTAATTAGATAATATGACTTACATTAGGAGACTTTTCACCTGGTTGTCGACATGTGATGAAAGCGAAGATGAATACAACAAGTAACTATGTGAGTCTGAGTTTTGTCATACACAGCGAACAGCGCATTGACTACTGTCTTCAATTGAAACTTTGATATCTAAAAACGCCAAAGAAGAAAAAGGAATGGAATTCTTGACACCTGATGGATGCGAAGATATATGCAACAAGTAACTATGTGACAGTAACAGGTTTGTACACACTGAGTAACACATAGACCGTTGCCTTCAATTGGAACTTTGATATAAAAAAAACCAAAGAAGTATCGGAAATTTATATAATATATATTTTAGGGCCGGGTGAGGGGAATTGGCAGCGGTAATAAATTGAGTTAACTCCTCTCTGGTAGAAGAGGTAGCATCGATACAGTCGTCAATGTAGTGACCGTGGAGTTCAGGTTTGAGGCCGTTGTATTGACTGAAAAGCTGAAGTTCGATAAAACTTAGGAAAAGATTGCGGGCGTAGCTGGGTCCCATCTTGGTGCGAATGGCTACGCCATCAGTTTGTTTTAAATATTTGTCCCCGAATGAAAAGCAGTTGAGTGTTGGACAAGTTCGGCTGAGCGGAGTAGTGTTTTAGGGCTAGGTTTCTTAACAGAACGTTCATCAAAAGAAGTCTTTTAGGGCCATGAGACCCTCGCCGTAGGGAAGGACGGCATAAAGAGATATAAAATCCATAGTGATAAGAAGTTTGTCTTAGCCAAGAAAATTAAAATCTCGAAAAATTTAAAGTACGTTTTGCCTGTCTTTAAGGCATGACGGTGAAGTTTATTCTAAGTAGCTGGAAATAAGTTCGGTGAGACAACAGCAAGTAAAGACAATGGGTCGACCTGGGTTGATAGGTTTCTTAAGAAGATGTCAACGAACTTGTGCGCGCGACTCGCGTGCAACGAACTTGTGCGCGCGACTCGCGTGCGCATGCTTTGGGATTACGTAAGTTAAAATATCGAAAGAAAATCACGGAGACCTTTTTATTTGTGACGTGTGCAAGTTTCTGAGAGAGGAGTTGAAAGTTTTTTAGTTTATCGAGTGGCAATTTGCTTGGCGGACGTCGCCGTTTACCGCGAGTTTACCGTTTATCATGTTGGAATAAACGTTTTCGTTTCCGAACAAAGTTAGTGAACTTTAGGTAATTTACAAGGTTATAGATAAGTTCATTGCTAGCGTACTAAACAGGTTTTTTTAAAGCACAAAAGTCAAAGAATGTTAATTTATTTTATTTCATCGTTTTCTAATTGTTTTTACCTATTTATTTATTTTTCTGCACTGTTGTTCCAGAATAATGCTTCATCATTTTTCTCACTTTTATGCTCGAAACTATTGTAGTATAATGTGGACAACGCTACCTAAGGGTTTGGCATGTACAGTGTAAATACAAACGACGGCTCGAGTTGAACTGCAAACAGGAACCGAAGTTATTGTCAAGATGGCCACGAGACGTATCAGCGAGCCAAATGCAATTACATTTATTTTAATTGAGCGACTATACTCGTTTCTTCTGATCACGATAAAACTGCAAGCTGGCCCATAACAGTCCTGCAACGCGAATGGCAGATCCCGCGAGATTCGAGACGGCGAACGAGGCGAGCCTACGAGAGGTCTACGGACTGAGTCCAATCTAACTCTAAATTTCTTTACTATCTCGGTCCCCGCTTGTTCTTTGCGGGCAGAATTCAACTTATTGCACCAATTTTTGTCCCTCCTTTTGCATGCCATCTGAAGTGGATACTAGACTTATCGCTTACGGTTTGATTCGCATGGTAGATACGACGGTAGGTTGTGTGACAGCGTCAGTGGGATCATTGGTATTATTGGTTGACTCACTGAAGTCCCCAATTCGGTTTCTGCAGGTCTTTCCGCAGCATAGCAGACTTTTGACTTTACTTCGAAATCTCTGGTTAACGAAGACGTAAATAAAAGGATTCACAGTAGAATTGCACGTGACCAGAACGATACTTGTGATGTAAGTAACATCTCCATAGTTCTGCGAAGGACTGAAGTAGTTCAAGGCGTAAATAATCAGGTTTGGCAACCAGCATATACCATAAATTACACTCACGACAAGTACCATTTTGGTGACACGTCTTGTCACCCTTATCACGCCCTGAATAAGCAGAGAATAAACAAGTTTTACCTTCTCATCTACATCACGTGTAAAGAGCATCGATATCGATCAGATAACTTGTGTCCTGTAAATATCGCAGGGCTTAAATTTTTCGGAAGGGCATTGACTAAGTTTTTCGCAATCAAACGACAGCTGTTCAAAATGATTGGAACCACTATAACTTCTGAGTGAAATTTTCTGTTCAAGGAATTACGAGAAGCCTCATATTTTCAAATGGTCTGACTTGCGAAGTCTTTTAGAGCTCGAGGGGTACTACAAGGTGGATATTTTGAGTGATTCCTTCGTGAACTAACACTTAACTCGCCTATGGGCTTCTTTTTTTTAACCTAATTTTTTTTTTTTTTTGTTATTTTGAGTGGATACCTATCTTATAACCAACTCTTATCCTAAACAATGAATCCTTCACGCCATGTCATTTTTTGCCTTTGGCGTCAGTGGTCAATCGTATGAAAACAAATCCTGAATCACTTTTAAGTTGCAATTGGCCTCGATGCACAACAAAAAATGACAAATGCAGAAAGAGATGTACCTTTCAAACGCATCGTCATATGCTGGAAAATCATACTAATGGTTGGATTATCAATAAGTCGAGAGAGTGTGGAATTAATACCTGCCGGGTATTTTGTGTGATGTTTTCTACAGTGCCATCCTCTTTTTTGAACCAGAGCGCATATACTACTTTGGAATACAACATAATCATCAGCAGTATTGGGATAAGTCCAGCAACAAAGAACCAAGTGGAGCTATATGCCTTGGGAAGCCAGTCAGATGGAGGCCAGTATTCCATGCAGAAGTTTTTTTTCTTGTCAAAATATATTGTCAGGAATAGAGGGATGTTGAGAATAACTGCACCAATCCATGATAACGGAATGATGACCTGTTGATAAAATAAGAATTATGAGATAGCTATATAAATAGTTTAGTCAAAAAGTGTAAAACGTCAGAAGCGAAAAAGGCACGAAAGATGAAAGGAATCGATTAAACCAAAACCATTTCTTGATATGGATTTACAAAATTAATAATGGTAATGGAACTGAGATTATATGCGTGAGTATGCATATGAGTATGAAACTCTACCTTTAGTTTATTGTACGTAAGTTTCCCTTTGTTTCCATAAGGATACATCACAGCATAATATCGTTCAAACGCAATTACCACAAGTGTAAAGACTGATGCAGCACCACCAGTCCAAGTAAGGTTTCCCCCAGTCAGAAGCCTGCAGACCCATGTCCCTGCTTGTCCATCTGGATGTTCGAAGGTGTGAATCAAAATAAAGCGCGGCGCGATGAACGAGGCCACCATGGCATCTGCCACCGCCAAGTTTAGAAGTAGGAAGTTCGTGGGGGTTCTGAAAAATCATTAATAATAATATCATTACCGGTAAATTGTTCAACATCATTCTCCTACACTTTATACTGACCACAGTTGACATGACTTCAGACAGTAAGTCTGTTTAACACTCCAAATACACCATCACTAACCTATTACGGTCAAATATGGCACTAATATGCTACATTGCAGTGAATATGTACTTCTCCATTGTCTCTTCCGTAATATTTGGTTAATATTAACGTCACTCACCCATATTTCCATCAAAACTACAATCTAACGTATTATGTTTACTACAAACTGGACTTCAATATCAATCAAAAGAATCCGAATAGCTAACATAATAATGACCAATCACGTAACATGATAAAATTCAAAATTTTCTTGTTTGTGGTTTTTTTTGGAAATGATTAACCAGCTATGGTCTACTTCTTGAATGGAAACCTTACCAATATAGGAACAGTGACTCGAGTGTAATTTTTGGAGAAGTATCACTTAAATCATGAAACTCGTGAATATCACATAAACGTTGCAATGAAAATATCTAGTTGGATGAATTTGAAAGTATTGCTGGTAGGCTATTTTAGGTGAGCTGGTTTGGGAAAGTTACTGGGAACAAAAGGCGAAAGCAGTAAAACGCTGCTAACTCCAGACCTCCCCCCCCCCCCCCGTAATCGAACAAGATCCGGTCTCCTTGACCCCCTTTTCAGTCATTTTCTATCAGCTAACTCGAACCCATTTTAACTCGAGCCATCTTCTGCTTCGGCTTTGAAAGTTCATCGAGTTCAAGCTACCAGGGTTTTACTGAAGCAATCTACTCATCTTAAAATAGGTATTAGTTGTGAGCAATATTGTAAAATAACTCATGTAAGTGTTACAACAGCCATTGGTTGTTTAAGTTACATTTTGTGAAAAGAGATAAACCGACTATGAGTGAAAGCATTCGAAGTCACAGTGTAGTCTTGGCGAAATACCTCATATCCCGGTACAAAATAATAACCAGAGCCACGATTGTGTTACCAATGAGATTCGTGCTGACCAGAATGGATAGTATGGTAGTGATCCCAATCTGTGCTGAATCTGAATCCGTGTACAGCGGCATGATTGTTCTGACTTACTGTATGGTAAATATATCATATAACAAAGGTACTTAAAAAAAAGGAACATACACAAATTTTGATTATGTCTGTAAAGTGACAAAAGACGACTGCAGCTTAAGATTTCAAAGGAAATTTAAGAAACATTCCCACGGCCCGAAGTGTACAAGACTATTCGTTCTGTTTGATCATAATAGCAGGTAATTTTTTCTGCTCATTTGAAAAGGCAAACAAAATGTGGGACTCCTGAGTATGGACTAATAAGTATGATAATGTTTTACCCAACCTTCTTTGGGGCTCAGAGCGCATCTTCTATTCAAACCTTTTTCCTACTGGAAGATAATCTTGCACCAAAACGAATGTGGAGTGAAATTGATAAAAAAAGGTAGGTGGTAGAAATATGTTTTGCTGGTTACGTCTGTAAACTTTTGTTTTGTTTTGTTTTTTTGTTTTGTTTTGTTTTTTTGTTTTGTTTTGTTTTTTTGTTTTGTTTTGTTTTTTTGTTTTGTTTTGTTTTTTTGTTTTGTTTTGTTTTTTTGTTTTGTTTTGTTTTTTTGTTTTGTTTTGTTTTTTTGTTTTGTTTTGTTTTTTTGTTTTGTTTTGTTTTTTTGTTTTGTTTTGTTTTTTTGTTTTGTTTTGTTTTTTTGTTTTGTTTTGTTTTTTTGTTTTGTTTTGTTTTTTTGTTTTGTTTTGTTTTTTTGTTTTGTTTTGTTTTTTTGTTTTGTTTTGTTTTTTTGTTTTGTTTTGTTTTTTTGTTTTGTTTTGTTTTTTTGTTTTGTTTTGTTTTTTTGTTTTGTTTTGTTTTTTTGTTTTG